CTGGACCGTGGTGATAAATAATAGAATACCCAGTGTAACTTCAGTAGGGTAGTGCTGATAGAAAGCTGAGTTGCTAGTTTTTGCTAGTAAGGTACCATTCAATAGCTGTCTTGAAACTGTGTGTGTGTCCTAGGAGGGATCAGTAGTTGATACCATCCCCTGGGATATGACAATTGCAGATAAAGATGACTAAACGAAGGCAATACAATGCTGCCCTACCCCTAACAAGAATGCATACAAGTGCTCTGAGGTTGTTTACCAGGAATTAATCCCGCTTTTCCCTATCTGTTTGTGGTATGTTGGAAACAGCATCCAAGCTCCAGAAGATAACAGTCTGAAGCAGCATATATAGGAATTCAGTCAAATAGGGCTAGACCACTGGACTGCCGTTTATGAGCACCAGAAGATTCCTGCTTGTTTCTGAACCTTGTTAACATCAGAATGATCGGTATTGCTATTAAAGCAAACTGACCTTCACGTCCAGACCTCAGATCTTCCGCAGTCTGGATCTTCCGTTCTGTTTCGATCTTTTCTGATTTTTGTTCATCGCCTCTGTTCTGGCAGATGGACTTGGATCCTATTCTCTATTGTTATTGACTTCATTAAAACCAATATGTAGCTGGTAAAGCTTTCTAAAACTAGGAAAAAATTGTGCTGACACAAACATATGCTTTCTTATATTTGCATTGGACCTCTTTGCAAATTAAGATCGTTTTACTCTTTTTTTTCCAAATGAGCAAGCCAGTCGTCTTAGCCAGTCTCTGAGTCATAGACAGAAAACTGTAGTAGCTTGGAAACAAAGAAAATGACACTGGCTCTGTGTCCCGGGAGTATTTGATCATAAAAATAAATATGGAGTTTCACTTATTTTCCGTAGCTGATGAAATATGCTATAAAAATAGGAAAAGATTAGGAGTTAGACTACACATGAGTAAAATACTTGAAATAAGAATAATTTATTTGTTTTTCAGAGTATAAAAGTTTGTGTTGCTGGCATACAAATAGTTACAGTTTGGAGTATGCGCATGTGTTTGTTTTTCAATTAAAGCAGTCTAAACAAATGAAGTGAAACTTTGGCACTCATGGAGCTGTGTGTCAAGTAGTGTTTCCTACTTCGAACAGCGAAGGTTATTTTGTGTTTTTGTGGTGTCATACTAAGATCTTTCTCATTGGCTTTATTCTTCCAACTGTGTGCAACTTGAAATTTTCTGGATGAGTGGAAGACCAAATATGTCAGTTCCAAGATCATTCCCTTTCAGGATTTAGATGAAAAGTTTGAGACCTAAGTGATATGCATGTAATTATGCCCTCAGGCATTACTCATGCATCAAACATAATCAGTGGAGATGTTATTTATAATTTACTTATGTGCTGCACTGTCAGTGAGCTTTTGCTGCTCACTGTCCGCGAGTGTTAAAATTTGCCTGGAGCAACGCTGAAGTAGAAACTTCACAGGACATTCTTAAAATGTTAGCTGTTAGCCTGTGGGAGGAAGAGTGGACCAGGTAAGAGCCTGGAGGCATCAAACTGTTGCAGTGCAGGAGTTTCTTTTACTGTCTCATTAGTCACAGTTAGGAGACCTTTTAAACTTCCAGAACGGGTAAGGAATTAAGCTACTACAAGTGAGAATGTATGAGAAACATCTCTTAATTGCAAAGAGGAGTATAAACAGAGAGCCACTATCAACAGAGTGTAACTTTGGAAGGAGTCCAGAGGGACCCCTACCCCTCACTGACTCCAGTTTAAAATTTTATGCATGCCAGGAATTTCCATTGATCTGAAGGCTATCCACTGTGACCAATTAATTAAAAGTCTATGGATACTGGGGTTTTTAGGAAAGAGTAATTAAAGCAGATTGTATTGTTTGTTTCTTTTTATGAAGCATATATCTTTGGTATTTAAAACCTCTTAACATACATTGCCTGTCCCATGTTATCTTTTCTTGTGGTGGGCTTTACGGCCTAATCTTCCTGAAGTAAAAGACTGTTGTCGTTTTAAATTCAGTGAGAACAAGAGGATGCTTAAATCCGTTTAGTAGGCATTGTATTTAAATGCAACTGCCTTTGCAGTTTTCGACAGTTTGTAGCAGCACTTTCAGTGTTCTCTTTCCTTGCAGAGTGAAGATTCGGATGAAGATGAACCTTGTGCAATAAGCGGCAAATGGACTTTTCAAAGGGACAGCAAGAGGTGGTCTAGGCTTGAAGAGTTTGATGTGTTCCCTCCAAAACCGGACTTGAATATCTCCTCCCCAGAAGCCTCTCATCTTACAAATGCGACGAGCCGTGAGAGTGTGCTAACAGACCTCAGTGAACGCCAGGAGGTGGCTTCTATTCTCAGCATCAGTAGCACTAGCAGCCACCAACCAACCCTGCAGAGTGAGGCATCTACCACCAGGACAAATTCAGTTGTGAGCGTTTGTTCATCAAACAATTTCATAGCAAATGATGACTCATTCAGCAGCCTGCCCTCACCCAGGGAGCTGAATAGCTTCAGCTTCGGTATGAAAGCCAGTGAGAAGAACGCCAAGTCCAAAACAAAGAGCCTACTCAAGAGAATGGAGAGCCTGAAAATCAAGAGCTCTCACCATGGCAAGAGCAAAGCTCCTTCAAAGCTTGGTCTTATTATTAGCGGGCCCATCCTGCAAGAGGGAATGGATGAAGATAAACTGAAACAGCTTAACTGTGTGGAGATTTCTGCCCTCAATGGCAATCACATCAGCCTCCCCATGGTACGAAAAAGGAGCGTCTCCAATTCCACCCAGACCAGCAGCAGCAGTAGTCAGTCTGAAACAAGCAGCGCTGTCAGCACACCCAGTCCTGTCACAAGAACACGCAGCCTCAGTGCGTACAATAAAAGGGTGGGCATGTACCTGGAAGGCTTTGACCCCTTCAACCAGTCAACGTTCAGCGACGTCATGGAGCAGAACTTTAAGAACAGGGGAAGCTTTGCAGAAGACACTGTATTTTTTATCCCTGAAGATCATAAGCCTGGCACCTTTCCCAAGGCACTCTCTAACGGCAACCTCTCTCCAACAGAAAGCAACGCTTCTGTGAACTGGAGGACAGGGAGTTTCCATGGACACGGCCATCTTACCCTCCGGAGGGAGAACAGTGGAGACAGCTCCAAAGAGCTGAGCATGGGGAAGAGGCGCAACTCCTCCAGCTCAGTGAGCAGCCGCCTTAGTATTTACGACAATGTACCAGGCTCAATTCTGTATTCCAGTACAAGCGATCTCGCTGACCTTGAAAATGAAGACATATTCCCAGAACTAGATGACATCCTGTACCATGTCAAAGGGATGCAGCGAATAGTGAACCAGTGGTCAGAAAAGTTCTCGGACGAAGGGGACTCTGACTCAGCACTAGATTCAGTTTCCCCATGTCCTTCCTCTCCAAAGCAGATCCACCTTGACGTAGATAACGATCGGACAACACCAAGTGACCTTGACAGTACAGGAAATTCACTGAACGAAACTGAAGAGCCCTCGGGGGTGCAAGACCGAAGGGACTCTGGGGTGGGTGCATCGCTGACACGGTCCAACAGGTGAGTTCGCAAGCACTCAGCCTGCAAAGTTGGCCCTGCACAGAGCAGGCGAGGTCTCCTCTGGCCTGAATGACTCCAGCTGTGCCAAGCTCAGTTAAGGTCTTGGTGCAATAGAAGTTGTGGCAATTCAAGCACACTCATGCTGTTCCCATCGCTTTCAAAAACAAAGCTGGCCAACGAAAGTGTTTTTATGGTATTTTTAAACAACTGATTCCCACACTTTATAGCTGTATGTTTATATGTTCGGCTTGAGTTGTCGTTGAAAAACAGCCTGCTCAGCAAGTCAGTTTTAGGAGCAATGTTAAGGCAGTTTTGAGGGATGGTAATTCTTCAAATTGAAATGATGTGTGGGAGGGAAAGGGACCTACAGCAGGATTATTCCATTTTTAAAATGTCTAGGAGAGATAATGTAAGTGTGGTCTGTTTTGTGTCAGCGTGTAGGAAAAGCCTGGTCTTTAGACTGTTTCAAAACAGGGCACTTTGCAGTAGCAGGCTGTTTCTTAATAACATGGTAGGGCATTAAATCAATGGGGAAAATGAAGCTTGTTTTCTTTCTCTTCATTACAGTAGCGCAGTAGAGGTTTGGGGAAGCTGCAGAGGCCTCCGAGTTTGCGTTAGGAGTTCCACTCTGGGATGGATGACTGTGTTTTGTATTGTGATTAGAGCAAGGATTTGGACTCTTTCAGGCTTTATTTCCAGTTTTCCTTTAAAACTGGTGCAAATCATTTAGGGCCTGGTTTCTGCTGTCATTTAGTTGCCTATAGCTGGTTAAAAAGGACTTTTAGAAATCCTTAACTCCCATTTGGTGCGTCTTAAGATTTTGGGTCTTTTTTCTTACAGAGTTTATTGATTCTGACTGACTTAGTACTGAAAGGGGTTCTGAAAAACGTGGGAGGAGCACTCTGAGGGTATCCAATAGTGCAACATGGTTGCTGGACAGCTCAGAGTATGCTCCAGGTGTTGGAAACACCTGTGTGCCGCATTGCACCTGGTGAGTCAGAGACATTTAACACCTGATGCCTCTGAAATCTCAGAAGATAACGGCCACTGAGGGCAATCAGTTTAGCAGTACGTTTAGGGTAGTTCTTGCATGTATCTTGCAAAGACGCTTCAGTGACCAGCCCTTGCTCTGTTCCCTATCTTCTCTGCAGGCACAGGCTGCGGTGGCACAGCTTCCAGAGCTCCCACCGGCCAAGCCTCACCTCAGCATCGCTACAGATCAACTGCCAGTCAGTGGCCCAGATGAACCTGCTGCAGAAGTACTCCCTTCTGAAATTAACTGCTCTCCTAGAGAAGTATACGCCCTCCAATAAGCACGGCTTCAGCTGGTAAGGGCACAGAGCCATGTGTAGACAGGCCATCTGTTCAAGCACAACAGTTTTGCTAGGCCTAAGCAAGTTTTGGAAGCATCCAACTAAATCCCTCCGTTCCTCTTTTTCCATATTTGTACTTCTTCCTCTAGCCATGTGCTGGTAGTGTTTTGTGGTTTCCTAAGACAGTGCTGTAATCACTAACCTTTTGCCTAAGTGTAATCTTACTAGGATGGAGAAGTATGTTTCTAGGGAACATGTGAAGGAATAAAGCAGTGAGGTACAGGCCAGCTTTCTATGCGGGAAGATGTCTGCTATCCACAGCAAAAAAGGAATATATATTCAGCAGTGGCACAAACATCAGTAGATCTTAAGATGCTTGCTTTTCTTTGGTTATTCTTAAATACTTGCATTAGCTTCCTTGTATAATTATGTCATTAAATAACGCAAGTTTCCTTTAGTTCTAGTGTCTCGTTATCTGACAGCTACCTCTTCTTTTTAAAGCACAATAAATCCAGTTAACTTGCAATGAAAATGAGGGGGGAAAAGGCAGGTTGGGAGAATCATGCAGTTTTTCTGTAGCCAGCAATCTCTGCCGTAGCCAGGTGTTTGTAACCAAGTTGAATGTTTTTTGTCAGATTAATGAAATAGAAAGCTCTTTTATTATTTTGTCTGCAGTATAGCCTGTGTAACCCTCAGGACGCAAAAGACGCCATAAAATTTTTCTTCTCCCTACCACACACCAGCCTCCTCCCTTCCCCAGGAGTCACAGAGAGTATTTCACTTCAGCATCAAAGTACCTCCTGTTCAAAGGCTGTTATTATGTCAGCCTTTCTAAATACAGAAGTTGTTTGTTCTGAAAGACAGAAATAAGTATTGACCGGTTATCCCTGCATGCTTCAGATTCTCAGTGGAGATCGCAATGTGTTTTTTCACATTCCATTGGCATGTTTTTTGACAAAGCAAGTATTATTCATACGTATATCAATAATGCCCTAAACTTAACTACATGGCAATACAAATTGGTTCTGTTTTTCTATGTAAGAGATTAGTCAGCCATAAATCTTAATGTACTGTTTTTATAGCTGTACTGTATATTGAAATGTTAAATGGGTCTCCCTGTTTTCCAGTGCTACTGTGTCCTATTAGCTGTTGTACTGTACTTTAACTTTTCTTCTGTTTAGGAAAATGATCTCAATATTTTCACATTTTAATGGATTTTTTTCCTTTATGAAACGAAAACTCTTGGGGATCTAGGAGTAAATCATTTTTTTTTGTATGTGGTAACTTTTTCCTTGGAGTCAAAAGCAGATGGAAAGACTTCTCATTGAAACTGGAGTAGGAGGTGGGGGTAATGACAGTAACTGGCTGACAAGGAGGGGGGTCCCTCAAAAGGGTTGTTTATGGAGCTGAAGTTTTTAGCTGACAAACTCAAATGTATTACATCAGTTTCCTGCTGTTATGCATACTGGTGGGTGGTGGACGCAGTTTGAGGACTTTGCAGAACAAGTAGTTGACATACAAAAGCTCATTGTTCAAATGCCCATCTTTCCTGAAACCTAAAGAAGCAGTGTTATAAAGGGTCACTGACCACAGGATTTATTTTGACTCTTGTGCAATTCAATCTGGCCCCTGCAGTTCTACCCTGTAGCTTTTATCCTACTAATATTGATAGAGTAGCACCACATTAATACCTGCAGGAAGCATACCGCCCTGAATGTCAAGCCCATCTCTTAGCGAAACCGTTTTGCATCCTTCTCTCCCCGCTCCCAGCCCTAAATGAATTAGCTAGTTTACGTTCTCAGCACTTTTCTTATTATTCAGCGTTACTAATGTTGTTGTTTCACTTATTTTCACTGACTTTTTTGAGTTACGGGAAATACCCGTAAGATAAAGAGGTTTAATTTAGTTTTGTCATTCCCTTGGCTTAAATAGGGCAGTACCAAAATTTATGAAAAGGATAAAGGTGCCAGATTATAAAGACAGAAATGTGTTTGGAGTACCCCTGCAAGTCAATGTTCAGCGCACAGGGCAGCCTCTTCCACAGAGCATTCAGCAAGCCATGCGGTACCTCCGCAACCACTGCCTGGATCAGGTGAGTTTTGCTGTACTCCATGCGTTCGCTGTCCGAAACCCAACATTCCATTAACTTTTATTGTTTCTGGGTCAGACTGTAAAAGTAGAGTCAAAACAGAACAAAACAAGTAATTAATTGAAGTAAAACTTTCCATGAAATTAGAACCCATAAATAAGAAGCTAAAGAATGTACTTACCTTTCAGATTTGCTAGGCTCAATGTGAATGTATTTAACTTTCCATATACAAATATGTTTAGGTTGGACTGTTCAGGAAGTCTGGAGTCAAGTCAAGAATTCAGGCTCTGCGTCAAATGAATGAGAATTCAACAGACAGCGTTAACTACGAAGGCCAGTCTGCTTATGATGTAGCAGACATGTTAAAGCAGTTCTTCCGTGATCTACCTGAGCCTCTCATGACCAACAAACTCTCTGAGACCTTTTTACAGATCTACCAATGTAAGTACTCAGTTTTCTAAGGTTAGACAGCATTTGTGTAGCCAAGATGGAGCTGTCTAATATTCCTTCTCTGGGCACTACACATGTTGTTCATGTGGATTGCTTGTGGAATTTGATGACAAATCAGACTATCTTCTTCGTTATGTTTCAGGCAGCATCATGGAATTGATTTTTTTGATGTTCTAGCTGTGTAATGATTTATAGTACAAGTTCTTTTTGTTTCACCTTTCTCTGTAGTTTGGGAACAAATATAGAACCTCTGTCACATTGCTCTAAAATTTCCTCTTTTCTGAGCGTACTTGATATTACTGTTTGAAAATAAACCACACCTGATGTGGCTGAGTAGAGGAGCTATGCAAACACTGCATGGACAGAGTTTGGGGCGCTTGAGGGGACTGTAAATCCACTCCCAAATTAGCGAGACTTTTTTTGAGATCAAGACTGCCAAAGGTTTCCATTTACTTGTATTTCATATTAGTTCATCTTTCCCCACAACTTCTGGAAACAACTTCTAAGTTGAAAGTTATTAAAGCTAGGAGCTACGTTACTGGTTGGTACTATAAATAGCATGTGCTTAGAATAAATAACATAAAAATGGAGTTTATCAATGCATCTGAAAAGAGATAATTAATCTTTCTAGGATGGCAGGTTCAGCTACAGCAAGGGAGGTTTTCCTTTCTGTGAGGTAAAGAAATCAAGTTCTATATGGATGATTGCTTTGTGCCGAATCTTTCCAAACAACAGGTTGCCCTTCAAAAGTTGTTTCCTTCCATGTTGTTTCATTGGGAATACTTATATGCTCTCACTTTATGAAATGGATACAGGTAAATTAATATTTTGATGACTAGAAATCCTAGGTCTTTTGAAATACTCAGGGGGTCCAAACTGACATACTGTAGGCACCTTTCTTATTCTGTGCTTTCTCTCCCTAACGCTGCCCTGGCTCCCTTCCCATGGTAGCACAGCTCCAACAGAGCTTACTGCAAAAACACTTTCTTCGAGCCCTTGCTGTGTTTTGTGCCTTCCTTACGAGATGGTGCTAAGGCCTTATATCGTCCAGGGCCTTCCTTCAGAGCTCTGTAGGCGACGGTTTAAAATGAAAACATGCATACCGCTATTTCAGTGCACACATTTTTTTCCTTTGTTTGGATTCCCAAGACAGTTTATGGAGAAAATGAATCAGGCTCCCCATACATATTCCTTGCATATTATATGGCAACCCTTTCTGGATTTAGTGCCAAAAAACGTTTAACGCGGTATTGCAGAAGTATCTATTCTTTTCCTTTCACAGGTAATAGGTGTAAGAAATTCCCAGAAGTGGTGGGACAGTGTTATTTGCTGTGTAAAGAACTTTAAAGCAACTGTAACTTTGTTTTCCTGCAAAGGCCAACATTTCCCTTGTCTTTAGTGTTATGCACTCAGCAGCACACTAGAACTGTCTGTATATGGCTTATACATGCTTCAAGCTGGTTGAGGGGAGAGTATGGAAAATAGTGGAGTTTTGCATATAACTGCATTTTAAACTCATTTGCTAGCCTTACTAAGTGGCTGAACCCCAAAGCAAATACAAATCAAATATCTGGTTAGTAACACATGTATTAAGAGACATGCAGTCAGGTTTGTGTGGTGCTAATGATGATATAAATACTCTAAGACTCAGACTGTCATATTTTCTTCGGAGATGGCTTGTTGGAAATCCCTTTATAAGAAGCAGATCTGGTCTGGGTTATTTCATTATTTGTTCCCTTCAAGTCTGGAGAGGAGGGCCTCATATGAAGACACACGTCAAATTTTTCCAATGGATGTTTGTTGTTAGTAACCAAGGAGTTGTTTAATGGTATGGGGCTTCACATCATTGACTTTCTTTTTCCACCGCGTGACTTTGAATGATGTGCTCAATAAAGCAACCCTCTGTGTTTGGTAAAGCACTTTCTGGATATTTGATGACATCATTGTTGAAAAAGTTTGCTAGCCAATTTATTTAACTGATTCACCTATTCTAAAATGCGTTAATATTTTAAAATTCTTTGAAAGCCAAAGAATTTTTGCTAGAGTCTAAATTAGGCTGGACTGTGTTTGCTTGTTCACTGCCTGAGTCCAGGCTTCTGTCATTTTAGTGCATCCGCGGGAGCATGTAGCTGTTGAAATTAAATCTAAAATTAACTCTGGCCTAGGCACAACTGCTTCTTGCTTGCCTTTCTTGTGAGGCAGGAAATAACTGAGGGTAGTTAAACTAGTGGGTTAAAAAAATTCCTTCATGTTTCCTACGAATGGTATGCATCCTGAAGGAAATCGCTTCAAACTCGAGTCAAATATTTGAAGCTGGAGTTTGCTTTGGGATGTATTCATGCTGTGTGTGTGGAAAATCAATGGGCTGATGAGAGAATTACTAATATTATGCAGATGTGCCAAAGGATCAGCGTCTCCAGGCTATCAAGGCTGCCATTATGCTTTTACCCGATGAGAACAGGGAGGTCCTCCAGATTCTTCTCTATTTCCTGAGCGATGTCACAGCTGCAGTGAAGGAAAACCAGATGACACCAACAAACCTGGCTGTGTGCTTAGCACCTTCCCTCTTCCACTTAAACACTCTCAAAAGAGAGAATTCTTCCCCAAGGTATGTCTCCAGAGAGCACAGCTCATTACTGCTGTTCCTGTACCACAGCTAGCTTCCTTGTGTCACTTAGCAGGCACTGTGATTTTCCTCCCATTGACCCTACCAGTTTTGATCACGTTGAAGACCTCAGAAGATACCAGGTTTAGAATGCTTATTCGATCCTGCGTTTTTTTGTTTTTTTGTTTTTTGGTACAGATTTGTTAAAATATAAACAAGTTCACAAAGGGGAAGAAACAGAGGGATTCCAAAGAAAAGTTTAGTGAGAGTAGCAAGAGAAGTCTATAACGCCACGCCAAGATTTTGTCCCTAGCAGCACTGCTCTAAATCACCAGCAGATTTTGGAATCCTACTGTTTTCTTACCAAACAGCTTTCTTGATCTGTGTTAAATAACTGGATTTGTATGTGTGTGCTTTCTCCTTTGTGAAGGGTGATGCAGAGAAAACCAAGCCTGGGAAAACCTGATCAGAAAGACCTAAATGAAAATTTGGCTGCAACCCAAGGGCTAGCTCATATGATTGCTGAATGCAAGAAGCTCTTTCAGGTAAAAAACCACCTATCCGCAAAAGTAACAAGTGGGATATTGGCCATCATGGCTTAGATCTGCTATTTAATAGAAAGCTAGGAGTGTCCCTTTATTTTAATTAAGGTTAATATATCATAAATAGATTTGCATCCTGACCTGGGTGCATATGTGAATGGTGTGCCACCATTAGTGGTGGCAGAAGAAAGGAAAGTTGTTTTGATGACACTGGTGCTCAGAAGTCATGAGACAGTTGTCGTGGGGTTTAGGGCTTTTTTAATATATTATTATATAA